CGCCGATGTAGTATCACATCCATTGAAGGCAGGCAAAAATAACATATTTTTCTCTACAGCATCGCTATATTGTAAACTTTGAGGTGAATAGAACAAATCCTTTCTTTTCCCTCTACCCGGCTTGCGTAAATAAAGATTCGGGATCTTTCTGACTCTAAGAGTCAACAAGACAAGCAAATCTACATATTCTCCAACAACGAATACGGAGGAAAAAGATGGAGCAACTTCGATGACATTCTGCAAAATTAATGAATCCACATCTTCAATCAAATCGGACATCTGACTCAGAAATCATAACTATTTTAGAAGAAAAATATTACATTATTGTTTCATAGCGACCTTCGTTTTAATTCGCGCTGAAATTCTCATTCTGTTGAACATTGCAAACTAACCCCCCAACTTTGACTCGTCGTACAGCGGAAACTATTGGTTGTAGACAAAAAAACATTGAATTCAAAATTATGCACGATTTTATCCTGTACATATTTCATTTGAATTTTTTTTGATAGGACTTACCACAAAGCTCAATTTCCTCTTAAAGCATCGCGATGCAGAGTTTTCATCTCCCCATCCCTCGAGCGGCAAGCCACCGAGGTCGCAAACTTAGGTGTACCACCAAATTTCATTTCCTCCCGACCTTCTGCGAATAGATCCCCTTATTTTCGACCCACCGCTTAAACTACATAATACCAAAATGTCATTATGCTTTCGAAAAGAAATACAAAAAATTAAATAATTTTATTGAACTTGGAATATACTTGATAGGTATTACAAACAAAAAATCTCAAACAGTCCGAAATAGTCTCGGACACTTGGTTAAACCACAACGCATTTTGAGGAGACCACTGTGACACCTATCGTATATATGTAGAGATGAAGACGAGAAAATACTGTTGGTCATGTCCATTTTGTTATGTAGCGTATCCTTGAAGTCATTTCAAACGTTATCTAACCTCACTCATCAATTATTTAGATCCAATAAATAAAAAATTCTAGAAAATAGTCCAAAAAAATGTTCACATGAATGCGCATGGGCAACGGGAACAGTTCTCAACAGTTCAGTCTCGAGAGCAAGTACGATTCAGGACAGTTCAAGTTCAAGACAGTTCAGGATCATTTCGCAGTCGAAACCAGAACAGAGGATTGATCAATCCGAACTTATCCTCAATGAACCAGAACGCTCTTTAGCAACTGCGCATGATCCTGACGTCCTAGAACCTGAATTTCGTAGAACCAGAAAAAACCTATTATATTCATAAATGAAGGAATTAATCATATTTATTTTTCACAGACGGAGTTGAAGCCTCATGAAATAGAGAGTAAGTTCTTGATCACCTTAAATATCTCTTATATTATTCGTTAAATTTTTACAGCGGCAGAATTTTGTATCGAAGTTTTTGGTGATAACGATAAAACCTTGGATGGGACGCTTTTAGGAAAATTTGTTTATTGCATGGGACTGAATCCTAGTCTAGAAATTCTAGAAAAAGTGGGTTTAACAAAGAAAGAAGGTAAGGAAAATCTTAAGTTTATATATGTATAGTAATATTTTTCAACATATTTTTGAATTTGTCAAACATTTCCATAGTCGGAAGATAGAATTATAATATCTGAGATAAAATAATGCCACCAGAACTGAAAAACTTGTTCTGACGCCCATTTCACTAACCGAATTAGCATGATATGAATATCTTGAAACGAACTGAATATTTTATTTCATATTGACTTGATATTTCATTTTACGAAACAAGTATGAAATACTTGGATTCAGCTTGAATTGGTTGATATGCTACTCTGAGGGTACTCATCTTTCAGCTTTCTCACACAAAAATGACGTGCAAATTCTGCTAAATTTAGATTGTATTCGCCTTTTTTTTGCGAATTCCCTTTTACTGTTCGTTTTTAAATACTTTTTCTAATACTATTTTAATCAACTGAAATGCACATTTGGTTTCTTCCCAGTGAACTTTGCCTTTGAGCCAATTGATGGTTTTTGTAGGACGTCAGTAAATATATCAACGTATTACTGAACATTCACCTTCTTGGTGGATGGAATATATAATCATACGATTATTTCCAATCCAATTTGCAAATGAAATACAATTTATTACAATTATATTATCAATGAAACATGGATGAGAGTAATTTGAAAAGACGTCATTTGTAGTCTACATGGAAGACATCATTTGAAAAATGATTTCTCATGAAACGGCTTGAAAAGAATACTTTCAGAAACGCCATTTGAATAACATTTTTGTTGGGATGCCAGATGCTAATCAATCTCAAGATTGTAAGAGTATTAAAAAAAACGATGTATTTTAAATACGTTTCACATGAAACATTTGTAAATTGATTATTGAAAATTTTGAGGATGTAAATTAGCAAATGATTTTTGAATGTCGTACATGCAATACTTTAATGATAATTGGATCGAAACTAGCATCACTAAAAATCCATATTGACAGATCATTTCAATTTCTCATCAACATACTACATATACAGAGTGTCAATTTGAAAACTTCCCACTCTTAATATCTTCCTACCAGTAAACAATATGAGGATTCGAAAAAACAGGCCAATTCTATTGTCAAGGGGGACACTTTCAAGGACTATTTGTAGCCCGCGTCGTCCAACTCCCTAGGAGGGGTAGATGTTACCCTTAGAATTTTAAATGGGAAAGGGGGTGTGAAGTTTTTCGTAATGTTAGAGGAGAGTTCGAAAACAGACTTTATTACTGTTTAGATAAAAATGGACGACATTTCGAACAGTTTATAAGATAACCGTAGATTTTATGTTTGAAATGTTTTTCTCGCAAGTTGAATTTTATTTTGTAAAAGAGCAATAATCAACAAATAAAAAATCCCACGCGTAATATATTCATTCATGTCATTCAAGGGTTGGAACGGTGCCACCTACTCCATTTTTATTGAAAGGTTGCATCTCAGAACAGGCAGATTCTAATTACATGTGTGAATTTAGAACGCTGTTTTTCGAAAAATGCTCATAAAAAAATAACAACTCAGGGAATCATTGGAAGCAGAATTGTACGCCAATTAAAATGATGTAATACTCGAAAATTCTAAAGGTAACATCTACTCCTCCTAGGGTGTTGAACCACGAGGGCTACTAATAGTCCTTGAAAGTGTCTTCTTTGACAATAAATTTGACGTTCATTTTCAATTCCTCATATTGTTTACCTGAAAAGTTTTCAAATTGACACCCTGTGTATGAATGACTGTCATCTGAATAATGCACATGAATGTAATTTTTTTGGTGGTATGTATTTCAACAAAACGTGAATAGATGCTTAAAAATAAAAGTCATTTTTAAATCAAAACGAAATTTCATCTCAAAGATATAATCTCAAGAAGAATATTTTCAATCCAACGTAGGCTTACACGGCCAGAGTCACGATTACAGAGAACAAAATACTCAGTAGCAGATGAAACTATACAAAAGTAGTAGGGAGCTTCCGAAGGAAGTAAGAAAGAAATTATGTTCAAAATCAACTCCTAACAAAGATGTATAGATCATTCATATAAGTTACTTTCATATACAAGTAAAGGCCAAAAATTATTTTCCCCCAAAAATGAACCTCTTTCAATATAATTCCTTTATGCATAATTTTATGTTCAATCACCTATCGGTATGGGGAGTGGTCCCGCATATGCCGCCCTCTGAATGTTTGCAGTTTCGGAGACAGGATCCGACCGGTGCAACCTTTGATAATGATGATGATTGTAACCATCCTCAGGCTGAAACAAGCTGATAAGCCTGATATTTTACCATCAGGTAAAACGATATTTGACAAGGAGATGTCGCCTCATCTGAACGAATATTGTCCGAAAAGAAGAAGAAAAACAGATGAAATATCAGTTTTTTTTCGAGCTCCACAGATTTTATCTGTTTATTGCAGTCTTTGGTGGACTAATTCCCTCTCTACTCACGTATGTCAGGGTCATATCAGTTTCCCGCAGTTAGGCAGGAATCTTGGCCATAAAAATGCAGAAGGCTGTCATTCTTGATAAATTGCATAATATGCTTGGGGAACATGACTCTCGGATCCAATGATCACTTAGGTCATGTTGTGGGAAGTGGTCAATGATTGATGGTGCTGATGCGCCCTCCGAATGTTTCGGGGCTTCGATCAGGGCGACCGATCATCGTAACCATTTCGGATAATGATAATAATAGTAATATGAGCAGATACCATCAAAGGAAGGTGTTGCTGGCTATAAGTAGAAGCAATATAAAATATTTCATTTCAATGAACCAGTATATTAGAGATTGTCGTCTTAAACCAGATGTTACTATGGAAATTAAAAAGATATCTGAATTAAATAGTTTTATGACAAAATGGTAGGGAAATAAATTTCAGTTCATATCATTGAAATATAAGAAGTATATGATATACAATTATGGTTATATGAACAAAAATTATGCTACAGTTATTTAAAAATATAATAATGAAGTTTAATTTGAAAAATATGGAGTACCACAAGGTTTATAAGTATACTGTGGCTGAAAATTTCTAGAAGACTCATAAAAGCTGGTTTCATTTCATTTTAGTTTTCGATACACTCTATGTTCTTGAAAAATGAGATGAAGAATAAACTTTTACTCAAAAACTTGCTTTATTCGTAACTACTGATAAAGAATGTTTTTTTTTAATATTAGAGAGAAATTATCAGTTATCCATGTATTTTCTGCTGAGTAGCAGTTTGGCAACAATTTTGTGAATTTTAATGAATCACAGAAAGGAATTTCTTGTAAAGGAACTCATATTTAGGATACAAAAGTATGAAGTTAATTTGTTCTAAACATATAGTTCAGACATATAGTTCAAACATATAGTTCAAACATATAGTAAATCAAATCATCTAAAGGAACAACTGCCGCAATAGATTTTCAATCATTCGTACACACTTGCAGACCGGTTTCGGGCTGTTTGGCCACTCGTCAGTGCAAGATAGTGTCTATCATCGACATAAAGTCGATGATTTCCGATAATTGAAAATCAAATTCCTTCAGAGTATCATTCCTCGAACTAGGCTGAAGTGGACAACAAACAACAGGTTTGCCATCGCCCCATCTGCCTGTGGACGAGGTAACCAACCGTCCGAAATTTGTCCAATTTCTCGTATGAGGAAAGAAAAATGTTCACATATAGTCAGTGGGCATACTTGGAGACTGGGTATAAATCAAATCATCAAAGGGAACAATTCGTTCAGGCCAGGCTCAACTCCCTACACTGTAGGTTAATGGACAGGCACCTGTCAGAAAACAACTACTCCCCTGGCTTTAGTGAAGAATCCTGCACTGATACCTGTCGGATATCATCCAACACCCTTCGTGGTATTAGCCAGGGGAGTAGTTATTCTCTGATATATGTCAGTCCATTAACCTACAGTATAGGGAGTTGCGACTGGCCTGTACGAGTTTTTCCTTCAGATGATTTGATTTGCCTTATTTTCAGGTTGCAAAAATTATTGGGTTAGACGGTGCGTGTAGAACGGAAAAACTAACTTAAATGTCTGTTGATCTAATGAACGACAAGAAAGACATGTTTTTTGTGAAAATACCAGATTCCAAAACATATATGGAGAGAACTTTGGTTGTAGGTTAAGAAAACCTGTTGTTGCATAGGCAATGTTTTTTCTCACAGCCGTCCCATACGCCATACAAGAAATTATTCGTTCTACGTTTACAAAAAAGGAAAATGTTCGATTTAGCCTGTTGGTAATCATAGTTTGGGGAATCGAGGATTAGAAACCCGCATAGTTTTTAAATTTACCTAATCTGAAAAATTACACTGGTCATAGCATTCTTCGAACTTCAGCGACTTTATTTGCTGATATCGGTAGAAACATCACAAATTTGAAGAAACACGGTGACTGGAAGTCTACCAATGTCGCTGAAGGATATATAGACAATTCACTCACGAACAAAATTAAAAATGCCAAGACCATTCAGAAATTATCAGATGAAAACAATCAATGCGAAACGGAAACTTCAGCTTCTTGTTCTGACTTCAACAAAAAGCATTTTGATGTATCAAGCACTTCAGACAAATTGAATACCCTCTAGAAAATGAATATTTCGAAATAAAATCTCGACGACCAAATACCTACATCCTAGGTTCTGNTTCAGATATTTTTCTACTTTCTCTAGAACTTTATTCATTCTGCCAACAGTTTCTTCTAAATTTACTCCAGTACAGGTCAATCATCTGCAAATAAGTTGATGAACTCACAGTCTGTAAATGATTGAATATCATTCAGATACAGAATGAATAATAGGGGACCAAGCACACTACCTTGTGGCACTCCTGTGTGATTTGTTTTATATGATGAGAAATAATCGTTCACTCGTACTCTCTGTTTCCTATTTGATAAATAATTACTTATACATTCATAGACCATCCCCTCAAGCCCATATCTTCTCAGCTTCTGAAGCAAAATACCTCTATCAATCGTTTCAAAAGCCCTTTTCAAATCTAAAAAGACAGCTA